ATATGAAATTTTATTTTTTATTTTTTGTTAAAGTTCTGTTAACTTACATTATAAAAAAAAATATTACAAAAATGTACTTTTCACTAACATCCTCTCAAAGATATAAATATTACACTACCTTCTTTTCTTGTGTTAAAATAAACAATCATCCTCTTATTAAAATAAGATATAATTATTACAAAATTCAATACTTATAAATTAATTATATATATATATAATTTTTTTATTATAATTTATATTTTATTCATTATTTTAATAAATTAATTTTAAATTATATATTAAAGATATATATAAGTGTTAAGGTATTATTTGATTGACATCTCTAATAAATATTTTAATAATATTTAATTAAGCTATTTTTTGTGATAAAATATTATTTATCATATTTAATTGTTGTAATGTTAAAATATGTACATAAAATACATGGCTTTTCAAATAAATATATCTATATTAAAAATTTATTATTAAATAAAAAATAATTATTACTAAATATACATATGTAATTTATTTTATACTTTTATTTAATTTATTATTTAATAAATTAATTTAAATTTAATTGTATTTTTTACAATTGTTTAATTAAGTGAATGATTATATATTTTTTATGAAACGGGTTTCAATTTGAATTGAAAATGTATTCAAAAAAACCAATAAAACTACATTATATTATAATTTATCTTAACGATGGTTAGTAAATTTAATAAATCACTTTTTATTATTTTGTTATTAAATCATTCACAAACATTTAATCTTATAAATTTTATATTTGATATATTTAATTATTGTACATTCGTAATATATGTTGGAGACTTGTATCAACTACAATTAGTAATATGGACAAAATAGAATATATAGATAGAGACAATTTTTATCTATAAATTAATTTTAAAAGATTGAGTTAAACCTAAATTCATTTTCTAAGATGTCATTCATGTATTTACTATGAAATATCATTCATGCCATTCTCTCATATAATTTCTTCAAAAAAATTACAAATTAGTTAGTGCATAAACTAATTTTAATTCATGAAAAATATTATTTAATTTTTTCTTCACACTTTTTACTTTCAAAAGTACTTCTGAAAAAATTTATTCAAATACGTTCATAATATATATATATATATATATATATATATATATATATTAATTATAGTATCTATAAACCTATTTAAAAAAAAACTCTTATTCGATAGCTCAATATCTAGTTTTAGTAAATACATTAATTCGATTAGTGTATGTGTATCAACTTTACTAAATGTGTAAGTAACAAGCTTAGGAGCAAGATAGTCCAGGAAGCCCAGACCATATTTAACAGGGCTTTAGTCGATGTCGACCGTTGAAATGCTCACTTTTTCTTGGACCATTACCAAGCCAAAAAAAAAAACAGAAACACAGAGGTTGTTTGTGTGTGGTGAATGGACTAATATATTATTTTTTTTAGCTTCGTTCTTGAAGTATCTTCCACCGATAATAGTGACTAATTTTTTTACTAAGTTAGAGACACTTCACGGGTTAGGATAGCTGACCCCAAAATTTAACGCAACTGCATATATAAGGTAGAATTTGAATCCTTGACCTTGCTTAAGCATGGATCAACCTCTGCCACTGAACCACACGCTGAACCAAAATATTGTTTGTGTGCGGTGAATGGACTAATATGTTTTTGAAAACTACTAAAGGAAGGAAGATAGGACCAGCCTTGTCACGTAATTAAAAAACAAAGTAAATTAAATTTAGTCTTATACTATTTTCTATAAAGTTCTTTCTCTTAAATCTAATTTTGAAAAACTTTCCGTTGTCAATTTTTATTATATTACCGTTAGTTAGCTAACTCATTAATTGTTTCTCCATATAGTAGATATTCCTTTATACATTATATTCTCTTAAAAAAGCATATAGTTGGAGCTCCTCACAATAAGGCGATCTAACTGATATAATAAATGCAATTTAAAAAAATATCTTTTTATCTTATTATATGTTACTATTTATACTATAATCTTATTGGCATAGACCCTATTAATGGGTCCGGATTTCCATTATGATTTTAAAGCGTAAGAACTGATTTAAAATGAAAACAACGGGGTTAAGATTGAAAACAAGTAAAAACTATTAAAATTAAGACCTTAATTTGAAAAAACAAAATATATTTTTATCAAAGAATATTATTACGATTTGTTTTCAAGATTTTTCTTACTTTTTTTTTTAATATATGAAAATGATATAGTAACTTAGCAGTAAAGGTCATATTTAAAAGGGGCGAACCGAATCAGACAAAATAAAAAGAGTCACTCCATCCGTTTTTTTTTCATAGTCGTTTAAGATTTTGCACGGGATTTAAGGAAATCATTGATATTTTAGTTTTTAAAAATATTTATTACTTACTTTCTAATTTTATCCTTTACTTTTTTTTTTGCATTTTTTAGACTGTTGAACTACTCCATTAAATAGTTGTCCCTTTTTTTTGTTTTTTTATAGTATTTTGTTGAGAATATATTGCTTTTATAAATGCATATTAACTTTATATGAGTAGTTGGAGAAAAATTAGATAGACATTAAAAATAAATACACACATTGTTCAGCAAACTTGTATTAATTATCAAGAGTAAAAATGGAAGAAAAAAAATTAATAACTCATTAATTTTAGTAATATGACAATGAAAAAAAACAACAAACTCTGACAAAACGACTATGAAAAAAAAAGGGAGGGAGTATCACTATTTCCACGGAAAGAGACAAAATTCATGTAGCCACATTCATTGGTATGACTTGAGTCAAGTTGATTTTTTATTTTTTATTTTTTGATGTGTTCAGATGTATAAATGAGAATAACACTGATGCTTTAATTCACCAGGATTCAGAAATGCATGGTGGGTTGGGAATTTTTGTCCTGGTTCAGCCAAGATAATTCACAAACATTCCAAATTATAGATTAGGATTTGTGAGCTAGATGCATACAAATCCCATTTATCTTTTATGCATTTGTTTCCTTCTGAAGAATCAGGATTCCATTTAGCCTTTGGAGTGAATGATACTTGTGGTCCCAATTCTCAAGAAGGAACACTAATCACTTGTTTTCACTCAAACACATAATGAAGGAAGTATCTCAAATAATTCTGTCTTTTTTTTTGTGAAATAAGGAACACCTAGTCGTATAAATATTAATTTTAATATATATATATATATATATATCTATATTTTTTTTAAAAAAACACAAGTATATTATCAATAATATATTATACGTGATAAAAAAAAAGATTTTGTGAACTTGTTTAATTATAATTAGTTTATAATTACATTACATATTAGACTAAAAATATTTACAATAATGTTTATAATTATAAACTACTTATTTCTTGCATTATTGTTACAATGTTTACATATTCGATTGATACAGATATACAATAGGATTAACGTGATTCGCAGGAGGTAAATAGAATTGGCGACAACATCCATCCTCCAAGTGGTTCCTGAAAATACTGCAGATATGATAGAAGGAAAAGGCTCCGGAAGTGCCGATAGGTCCATCTATTTTTTTATATTATAATTATTACATATTTTAACCAAAGAGAAAAATAAGGAGTGAGAACAATTATCCAATAAATATCAACAATTACATAATATGAATAGAAATATTTAATACTAATAAATATATATGAATTATTCTTGATATAAAAATTTGAATTATACTTGTAATGATTAGTCAGGATAAATAAGCATTATCATAATATCAACCAACAAAATAATTTTTCACCTTAAGTCCTTACTCATTTAAATCTCCAAGATCAAACTGCCAACTACAATTTAATTCAAACTTTCATTCTTATGACTATAGAATAATATTTATCTTTATAAATGCATGAAAAAATAACAACAAGACGAGTTTAAGATATTTTAAAAAAATTATATTATAGTTAATAAAAATAATTACGCTAAATAAGTTGAGTATTTTTTTTCATTATTTAGAATTTAATAAAATATAGATTATGTAAATGGAATATATTAAAGAATACTAATCAAGTAAATGATAGTAATAATTATTATAAAATAATTAAACAACATAAACTAGGAATACCTTATTAATTATTAAGAGTAAAAAAATATTATAGATTAAGCAAGTAAGTGATGTTAGGAACATCTCACTAAGTAAATACACATAAAATATAACATAAATAAATAAATATAATAACATATAAATTTTAAAAGATAAAGTTCTCCTTACCTTAAGAAAAATGATATGATTCGGAGATATTTCAAAATTATATATTTCTTTCCTTTTTTTTTTTTTTTCCTTTTCTTTTCTCTCTTCCTTCTCACTATTTCTACGTAAGCCTTTGCCTTCTTTCTTCTCAAATTTTTTTAGTTGCATGTTCTCCTCACTCTTAAGCCTATTTATAGTGAAAATTGTAACGATGACATTAATTAGCATTTTATGACAACTTTTCACATTTGGTTTGATTTCAATTTCTCATTACATGTTTAGTTTCTTATAGATAGGGATTAATAAATATAAAATAAGATTATGTACTTGTAGATAATATTCCTTACATTTATTAGAGTTGAATTTGTGTACTTGTAGATAAGATTCCTTACGCTTATTAGAGTTTTATCTACTTATCTAAAATTTCTTTTTATTAACTACTGCATTAGTGCGGGATTCGAGAATAAAATTGAATGATTTTAGATAATAGCTTATTTAATTAAACTACTAATTATATAAAATTATATATAGAGCCATGATATGACTTGAACCTATGACATGAAACCTATTATTCTTATACACAATCAAATAAATTATTAAATCATTCCATTTTATATGTATATGCTATTATATAAATTATAATATATTTAATTTGTTCCACATGTACTTTTAATAATTGAATTATTATAATTATTTATAATATAATTAAATATTATATATATATTTATTATTTTAAGAATATGATAATAATAATAAAATTAAAAATATTGTATCAGGAATTTAAGATATTACCATCGAAATCATAAAATATGGAGTTAAAAATTCATTTATTTCACAATTTCTCTCTGTTTGAGCCATGACACTTGACTATGTTACAACCTACAAATTATTTTGACATTACCGACTTAGCCTAGTTACATGAGAACTCTCATGACTAGCATGAGGGAAGTTTTATTGTCTTCATTTATGGATATTTTATACGATTATTATAGACTTCCTTCCCTCGGTTATGCTGCTAGTCAGGATCTAAAATACTCAGTTAATCTGCATACAGATTATGAGTGTGTTCACAAACACATTCTACTTCCAAAAAAATCACATTCATGATGTGAAAAATTCAAATTCTAGAACTAGCAGCATTCACTTTGATCCATGATCTGTTTCAAACACTAGCTAAATATGTTGTCAACTTGGAAGTGGGACAATTTTCATCAACTGCAAAGTTCTGGGGCGTTGATAGGGAAATCTGTGTCGAAATCTATCTTTGCTAAGATGAAATCCAAATCCATTATTGGGGAATTGGTGACTGAAGTTGGAGCTGAAACTATATCAGTGATATCAGACTCTGAGGCATGCATACTTTGGCCTAGTCCAGTGCTACTACCCCAGTGGCACGGTGACAAACAGAAAATGTTTGGTTCTTCTGAAGTTGTTGGAGCTATTAAAAAGCTTTCCATTAAGTTGTTGTTCTCAATCATGGCGTAGGAGAACATGTTGTTGTCCTCTTTTTCAGACCCTATTGATGGAGAAGAGAAGCAAAATGATGGGAATATGTCCTTCTTGTGGTCCAAGTCCTCTGTTTTAACTTCAAGACCTGATGATCCAAAAGAGAAAATTGTCTCTTGGGGTTCTATTTTCTCTTCTTGTGGTTGATTCTTTTGATGGTTGTGGTGCTTGTTTTCTCCCAAACCCATATTTGTTTTTGATGTGGGTGCTACTACAGCCTTGTTTAAGTGACTTGCTTGGGTGCATGTGTGTCTTCCTTTGTAGGTTATCTCACATATCATTGGGTCCTCATCTGACTTTTGCACTTGCTTAGTAGCCAAACATCCTTGTACATTTCTATATGTGCACCTGTAATATCCTCTGCAATGCAAACCATGTTTGTCAGAAAAACATCACAACAAATTGCTTCAATATAAAATAGTATTAGTACTTCAGTAATTATAATAATGATCTAGAATGACAAAATGCCCTTTTTTCTATGCTGCTATAGGGACATCAAAGCTAATATTAGCAATCCTTTGTGGTCTTTTTATATAAAGTAAATACTAACAAAGAAGGAATATTAAAGCCTTATTTTTTTATCTGTCCCCCTATTCTACAGTTGTGAATTCGGCTTGCATATTACTCCACTGTTTTTAATGCTAAATAAAAAAAGGGTACATGGCCTGCCAAACATTTAGGAACAAGTTCCTCAATTTGATAAGATTGTCAGATTTTTCTCATGTAGCATTGCATCTCTTATCTTGCACAACACAGGGAGCCACTGGTAATGAGTAATGACACGGTGCATTTACTAAAAAGCTGCAATCGTAGTGAATTCAATCTAGCTAACGTTGTCCTTTGGATAAGTTTTGATGTCTTTTTATAAAGCACTTTGTCGTCACCCGTTCTCTGGACGTTGCCACAAGGAAACATGTGGCTAATTTTGTTTAGTTATTTATTTCTCTCTTTAGACTCCATTGGCTAACTGGCCAATGGTATTTTATTGCTTTTGTTATGAAGGGTACCTACCTACCTGTGGTACACTTTCTAAAATACTAATATCATATCAAAAGGCTAGGTAACAGAACCTTTCTCTAATTTCCGTCATATTCAAATGTCAAATTGCGCCAGTTTTCCCTTGTGGTTAAAAAAAAAAAAAAAAAACTTTTTTGCATGTTTGGGCTAAAAAAGTTTTAAATGAAGAAAAAAAAATATTTTCTTACCTTGGAAACTTAGCTCCAAGAATATCCTTCTGTCCATATTTTCTCCAGCTATAGCCATCATCCAGTGATGTTCCCAAGCAGACCTTCACTTGCTCTGTCCATTTTGGAGTGGTCTTTCTGCATCCACAAATTCAAAGAACCCCATATTGAAATCAGGCCATGAAACTTTTCACTCAATTCCAAAAGGAACAGTAATTTGTGAAAACAACTTTTGACATTACCTTTTCTTGAAGACATCTTTGTGCTTAACCTCCGGCTCCATGACCTCACTTCTGGGGCTACCATTTGCGAAAGAACAAGCGGAATCCATGATGCTACCATTGTTTGCCTTATTTTCTCCTACATTAGGATTCAGCATGGCAAGTACTTTCTCATAGGTGGAAAGTATTTTCTGAATCAAGACTTCATTTGTTTCATGAGATGATGATGATGATGAGACTAGATAGTCACATAGCTGCTTTGCTAGCTTCTTCCCTTGCATTAACTCATCAATGAGACCAACTTGTTCACACTTCATATTCTCTCCCATCGGTGAAGATTAAACAACAAGAATAAAGGGTCACACTTTCAGTTTGAGCTGGGGCTAAGGCTTTTATTAGGCTAAAAAATATGCCACTTTGTTAGATAGTATTGGCCCTTCAAGAGCTCATGAAAAACTAGGAATTTGGAAACTATAGGTTGGGAAATTATCCAAGTGGTGAAATGATGCAATGACAAATGGATCATTCAAAAGAAGTAGAGAATATGGTGAGAAATTGGAGTGGCAAATTGTTGGTGGAGTGGTGAGTTAGTGGAGGGGGATATAAGGGATTGGAGATAAAAGAGTTTGAAGCTGTGAATCAAATAGGAAAGAGAGGATCTTTCTTAACCAAGAAGGTGAGAGGAAAGGGGGTTTTAAAGGTAAGAAAAGAGAAGGAAAATGGGGTAGATTTAACTGCCCAAAAACAAGTGAGTTTTCTACGTTGTGGGTCCCTTCTCCTAGGTCTCCACAATAAAGATTATGGTTTATCATATCGATTGGAATAATCCCTTGTTAGAGAAAAAGTAAAAGGGAAATCCTTGAATATGCTTGTTGAATTATTGACCTTTTCAAATTTGGTGTGGACACCTAAGAACCAAATCCAACAGAAAATTTTGGGTTCATTCGCTTAATCAGTTTCAGCATGGAATCTGTGCATATAAAAATCTGAATCCATGCTATTTTAGAACATTTTCTAATCTTTTTATGGCATGCAATTCTATAGTTTTATCACTTTTATTGGTTTATGTTATGTAATTCTATAATCATCACTTTTGATATTATATATTAGTTATTTATTTTATTTATTATGATTTTCTATTTTTTATTATTTTAATAGATACCCAATAATTCAATGCAAATCAACTCCAATTTAATTTAATTAATTTGTTTTTTAGTGTGAAAGCTTTTCTGACTAATGACAATATAGTACTATGAAAAAAAAGGTAATTTGATTTGAGTTATACATTAGATTTGTTTTTTTTGTTTTTTTTATAGACATAGTCCAACAATCTAAAATTGACAATATATTTGAAAAATGTTACTTTCATTATTTAAACACCAATAAAAATCAAATTTAAATTTCAGTCTCAAGACAAATTTGATGATTACTGGATTAAGAGACTTGATTACTTTAATTAGTTAATATTTATGGATTGAGATTTGAAGCCGAACCAACTAAACAAATGTCCCCAAGGCTATTTCAAGTATGAGTGTGACATATATATATATATATCTCATCACCAACCCCTTAAATGGGTAAAGAGAGAGAGAGACACACACGGTGACGTGTACTTCCCCTACAGATCGAGTGAGCAACAACGCGGAAAAAGAGCTGAAGATTCTTCGTTGCATCTCATTTTTTTTTTTAAATTTCAAATATTTATATTTATATATCCACTTTCAGTCCAATGCACTCTCTTTCTCTTTGTTTATTATGTTCATGATTTTAATATTGATGGCACTCAGCAAGAACGAAACTGACGTGCAAAGTTGGCGTAATGTGTAACACTTTGTTTACGCTGATGTTGATTGTTCGGCAACGTGGCTCTCCGATCTAACCTAGGCCTTACGCGTTTGTAACTTTTTGCTGAGTTATATATATGAATTCTTCACTCAATTTAATACTATATATTTCTATCAGCTTCATTTTAATATTGAAAATTTAAAGCTTTGGATTAGTGGTATGATGGGGGAGTATTTTAGTACGTTGATTCCATTGATTGAATTTTGTTAAAATTAAATATAATCCTGTGTGTTGCACAGATACTTGCAATTTTTTTTATTTTTAAAGTATATCTACTTGAAAAACTTATAGTTTTTCTCTGATCCTTTTTTATTTATAAAGATTTTGCGTTTTCAAGGTTAATGATGGCCTGGCAGCCAATATTTAAGGCTTTTCTTATCTTAGGTTAGTACATGTTACTGTTTTGAATCGCTGAAAAGTATGAGAAAGTTTGGTATTTGGACTATGGAGATGAAATTATTATATTATTGGTAGTACAATGAGACATGAGACACACAACACCACAAAATTACAAAATAGAAATAGTTGAGGATCACAATTTTAATGTAGTTTGGCACCATTCCCTACAAAAAAGATCTTAGGTGACCCTCTTTAGGTTGAGTAGTTTATATCTCATGAAAAATCTCTATTCTATCTTCTTGGATTTTACATCATGATTTAAAATAGAAAATAAATTCCTAAAATAAACATCATTTCTTTAAATATTATCTAAAAAAAGACATTTTATGTCATAAAGAAACGTGGTGGCATAAATGTAATTTGATTAAATCGCATAACTCAAGACATACATAAACAAGTAAACATTAATTGAACACCAGCAGACCTTGAAATTGTTTTATAATTTTATAAAATGAAGAGTAGAAGCACTAGTTGTATATGTTATATATAATTATATATAATACTCTCTAAAACCGTATATGTTTCTCAACAGAAATAATTCACGTGATCAATTTTGTACCAATTAATTAAACAAGAAAATAACTCAAACTCAAGTTGATGTTATTTCTTAAGATGTCATCACATTAATTAGTTTTCGATATAATATAAATATTACAGATATTTACGCAAATAGGCAGCCATAACTCAAAAGATAAAACCATTGAACGTACACCCATAGAATATTTCATGACATAAAGATTCAAGATGCAAAATTCTGCTATTTAATAAAAGGTAAAATAATTCTGTAATTTCCCATAATTTTGTTAATATTTTGAACAAGTTTTCATAATTTAAAAACTTCTAAAAATGTATTTATACTTAATGTAACACCTTAAATTTTTTAAAATTATTAAAAGAATGTGTTAATTGATTAAAGGAGTTTTTATAAAATAATTTAGAGATTTTTAAAATAATTATGAGTGCTTTTAATTAAAAAAATATTTGTAAATTTATTTTGTTATAATAAGTATTCGAGAAAAAAATACATGTTTTAATTAATTTTATATATAAGTGTATCAAGAAGGATATGATTTAGGCTGTAGGTTATTTAAAATATATTTTATTTTATTTGAAAAGAAAATAAGGGTAGGAACATTTTTATAAATTTGAATTTTGAGTGTAGACAAAATATGTTTCTTATTTTTTATGTTTACACTTTCCTCTTCGTATTCTGAAGAAATTGAGGAACTGCTTGGAAATTTGGAAAGCGGCCACCTCGAAGGCTTACGTTTATTCATCCAAGTAAGGGGTAGTGGATTATCCCTAATCTTATTTTATTGCATATAAAGAGAAATCACAAATTATGATTGTAACTTGTGGTTTTTTTGTGTCCATGCAATTCTGTTGTGTTCTATTGATAAGTAGTCGATGTAACCATAGTAATTTCATTTTATTGTGTATAGTGTGAGAATGTAAGTTTATGTAATTTTTGTAAAAAACTCTTGATTTATAGAATAAAGTGAAGATTAATGTTAATTGCATGAATAAGTGAAATTAATGTTAAATTTAAATAATTAATGGTATAATAGAGTATTTTTAGGCATTAACTCATGTTTTTTATCAATTGGATTAGGAGAAGTGATTTTGAATGAGAGCTATGCGTTGTTTTAAAAATTCTGGTATCAACATACCTAGGTATTTATGTGATTTTTCTATGTGTGATTAATTAAATTAAGTTTTGATTGTTGGGTTAAAAGTAGAATTTTGATACTATAATTTAGACTCAATAATCACATAAAAATGTTAAAAAATGATCAAGTTATGTGAGTTAGAAGATGAGTCTCACGTTTTGTGCATGAAATGTAACTTACATACATTGCGAGCCTTGCGAGGAAACTTAAATGGCTAAATTAGGTTTTGTAATATTTATAATATAGTTTTAGCATTGGATGTTAGTTTTCTAACTCCATTGGAATCACCCAAAAAGAAGGTTTAAAACTTAAGTTAAGATCAAATAAGTGAATAGAGGTAGCTGCCAAATCTAGGTTGAATTGCTACGTTTTGTAATTTTTAAAAATAGTATATGACAAAATCAACCCCAGGCCAACATAGAAGTTGTATATAATTCTAGATATCATGTTTGGACCACACGAGATCATGAAAAATTAAGTTATGAAAATAAAGTTTGCAAGTGGTGATGGTGAATGACTTTATTCTTTAAGTGTTTAATCTTATAGAAATTATGGAAGAGAACAATTGTGAATGTTATAATGTGTGAATTTTGCAAAATCTACAAAACCATATGTTCTTATGTAAAGCTAAGCACCATGATTAGCTGTTTGACATAAGCATGACAAAAAGCATAGGTTATTGTCCATGACTTTCACATTGGGCGTGGGAAAGCTCACGCTAGAAGTTGGAGCTCCAAGGAACTCCATGTTGCTAATTTGCCAAGCTCAAAAGGAATCACACCAGACGAGTTCCTTCTAGAGAGGAACATATGCTTTCTACCTAGATTGCGTTCGGTGTAAGGTATCCCATCTGGGATTCCACCATGTTCCTATGTAATTGTTAATTTTATAAGTGTGGAGATGTTTTGATAATGTTGATTAAACTATGTTGGTTAATTGAGAATGTTGTATTGGATTATGTTGGAATAAATGCATGCATTGGTTAAATTATGAGTAAATATTGCTAAATTATGAGTAAATGTTGCTCTATATTTTTACTGTTATGAATAATAATTAGTGGCTTAATTAGTGGATGCCAATATTCATTTTCAATCATTACCATTTATATTTCCGTTATGTATTATTCTTTTTATTGTGTAATTGTTCAGTTACCACATGTACTTATAAATAGGTTACTCCTCTCCCAAAGATAATACACCAGTCAGATTCTTTTCTCCATCTCATACTGTCTTGTTTCTTCTATACTTTTCTTCCTTTTATAACGCATTATCAGCATGATAGTCTTTTATCTATTGGTCTTGTAATTACAAGAGAAAGCTGTGAAGATTTTTTTTCAAGAAGGTCATATTTTTCAAGACAAATATTTTAAGGTTAGTTATTCATCTTTTACAATAAGAATTTTATCAAATATTTGTATTGTTTACATTGTTACGAATTAAAGTACTCTTGAAGATATTATAATAGTCCTGAAGACACTATTAAATAAAGAAATTCTTCATACATTTTTGAAATCTGTCTAGAAGACAATATCAAAGAATAATGTTTAACCTCTTTTACTTTATTATTTTTTTTTCTCACTAGAAGTGGGAAAATGATGAAAAAAAAAATGAAATTGAAGGAATAAATTTTCTCACTAGAAGTGAGAAAATAATATGAAAAGTGAAAAATAAAATAAATTTCACCAGAAGTGAAAATTTTGATATAAATATATTACATTGTATTTGATCCTTTGATATAAATAAGGTCATCACCGGAAGTGAAATAATT